TTTTTTTTTGTTTCATTTTTTTGACATTAGCTTTTTAACAATTTGATTGAATCATATTCATGCTCATTGATTTGATTTTAACTGATCGATAACAGATTTGTGTCATCTTTATTATTCTATTGATTATAGAGCAGTGTAGCTAGAAATAATAGAGAAATAAAAGATATTGTTTCTTTTGCTAAGATATGATCTCAGCATGAATATCATTGATAAATTTTTCCGAAACCCTAATGATGGAATTAGACTTCATTTCAGATTGTAATAGTTTATTGTTTAGTAGTCGATACTTTTTGTTGTTCTATTCAAACATGTTCTTTGCATAAATAGAAAAATTATACGTAACAACTAGAAATCAGACTAACTTTCTAGTTAAAGTTGTTTAAAGATCGTCTACTGTATTGAAACTATCGAATATCAAAAGTTACCTCTTCATCATTATATATCAGAATGAGTAGCCTTGAGACAAGCAACATTTATTTGAACAAGGTATATCATCATTTTTTTAGTTGAATGAATTCAACTCTGTAGACTCATGCCAAATTAAGACTAAACCAGTGATGTCATTGACAAATAAAACAGAAAGAGAAATATTTGTTTTGTTTTTTGAAAAAAATGCGTAGGTATAAAATATGACAACTTTTGTGTTTGTTTTCTTTATGGTAAAAGTTATCTAGTAACAATCAATGAAAATCTTATACTATTACAAAGCTTTCGAAAAACAATCGAATATTTTTCCACCGTTTTTGTGAATTCAATGATTATCTGTATATTGTAGAGGTACCAACAGACTCGACATACCTATACTAGATCTACATCCTTCCTAGCCTACCTGTGTCCATTTTTGTACACAGTAACAAAAGTATAATATCTATTCTACGTAATCTGATTTCATCATTCTTTTGTGCTAACTCTTAAAAAATGAACTTAATGCTGTATTATTATAAGGCAATTCAAATTCATAAAATGCAATTGAAGTAGCTATAGGAGATAAAAAACATAAAATAACAACTCTTGTGAAACTCAAGATAAAATAGCATCAACTTGGACTAATAGGAAAACCTTCTTCTGATCAAGGTAATTACTGGTAATCAAAGAACCGCTGCGGATCTAACTCTAAACTTTTTTCTCATTGGTTTGAATACTAATCATAAATATAAAACAAAGTTTCTATTAGTAAGACTTTTCCATTAGATATATACTGGTAAAAAACATAGACAGAATAATTGTCAAATAAAAACTAATAATCAAAAAATATTTATTTACATTAACAATGTTATCTGAAATTCTTCACCAATCTTTAACATTATTCGGTCAATGAATTGTTTTCTTTACAAAAACAATATTTTTTCATATGTTCCACAAATAATCTATTTTGTTTCTGGACTTTTACGATGCATAAGTATTAATAGTTGTTCGTATAATATGTGTCGCAGTAATCAACCGACAAAACGTGTTTGAGTATGTCCTTTTCACAGAACAGGAAAAAAAGAGAAAAGAAAAATATTGTTTTTTGTTTTTCACTTTCAAGTCAATATGTACAATCGTGTATAGTTGCGAGAAAATATGGCAAGGCCAAAGAACAACAAAAAATAACAGAGAACAGGAAAAAAATAGAGGACAGAAAAAAACAACAACGGCTACTCAGCAGTGAGTGTTACTTTCATTCAATGTGTCTTTTTTTGTACAATTGATGGTTTGTTTTTTTTTTAATGTGGTTGAAAGCACAGAATTTATGTAGTTCTTCGTAAGGTTTGCCGTTTTTTTAAGATGCGAAGCACGTTTATAGTGCTACGACATAAGTTTTCTTTCTTTCTTTTTTTTTTTCTAACAAGGCATACATCTTTAAATTTGACCTCTTATGTCATTGCGATCTCGAGAAAGAGAAGCTTGAAAATGTGTTGAAATGTGACAAGGAACTATCAAGATCGAATAAAAAGCAGTTTGTACAATTATCTTTATGGTATCTTGTTCATTTCGAAATAGAGCTCCAAAAGCACAATTTTTTGAGGCCTTTGGATTTTTTCAGTTTCGAGATAATTTAAACGAGAATAGTTAGGTACTACGCTCCCTACTCATATGTGAAACAATCATCTGTGAATGAAGCTGGTTATAGATAGTGTACCATATAGATAATTAAACAATCAATCGATAGAGTTCTTGGAATAAAGAATTCTATTATCATTACTTTTCACATTGGTCCTGACTTTGATCCGTTAATTAATGGAAACATAACATTTTCGATTTTCGGTGACCATAGAATATTTGATTTAAGCAAAGCTCAAACATCTTTAGACAAAGAAAGACTTACAATAGATTCCAAATAATGATGATTCTCTTTCTTTTCGATAGTTGATATCTGTGTTTCCATCACATTTTATCTTCGAGTTTCACTCGAAGACCATCTAGTTAATATTAAAAAAATATTTTTTTTTTAATTGATTCTTTTGAATAGAATGGAAATAGTAGCTCAAATGGATCCATCTGTTGGTATTGATAGTCTTGTGAAACCAACAATTGATATGGTACGATTCACTGTGACCACAAGTAAATATACAGTCTTACTTACTTGTATAGTATTAGATTGCATAGTTCTTATTGAGCTAGTTGTTGAAACAAAGTTAATTTATTCGTAAATAATATGTGTAAAGCTTTACTATAAAAAATATCCTGTTTCGAAACATTTTTATTTATTGATCGATCTTATTTTTCATGAGATTATTTTATTGAAAAAACATCTCGAAGAATTAAATTAAATTTTTCTTATTCTCTATGTATTTTTTAGGTAACCCTCGTCAAACACATATAGAATATTTACCTTATCCAGATGAGAAATTTATTGATGAATCTCTACAATTCTATTCAAGTATTCATAAGCAATACAAACTATCTAGTTGTTTTCTTATTTAGTTTGTTTACAATAGATGAAAAACGTCCACTGGAAGAAGTCTATTTGAGACGTAATAAAGTGTTCATTGATGGATTATCAGTGGAAATTGTTAGCGTAACTGCTGTAAGAAATTATAATCCTGTTACAGAATTTCTTCATCCATATCTGTAAGTATTTTTTGTCATAAATGTATTAAAAAATAATTTATATTATAAAATAAAATACTTATTTTTTTTTAAAGATATACAATAACAGTTCGTCATGGTCCTGTATTTGAATGGATCATACATAAACGTTATAAACATTTTCATGATCTTCACAAAGCTCTTGCTCATTATATTGAACGTGCAACAGGACGATCTATAAGTAGCTTAAATAAGTAATATTATTTAAAATACGTTTGATTTAGTTGTTTGGTTTTTGTTTAATTATTTAATTTGAAGAAGTGATTTATCAGAGAAAGAATCAAATAATGATCAAAGTTCTTCATTAAGTAAAAAACACGAAGATCAACCATGTTTTCCAACTCGTAATGATCGACTTTCTTTTATAAATCAATTTACAATTGAAGATCGATGTGTAAGATTTTGTTTTGTTTTGTTTTTCTTTATTTATTTTCGTTCATAGAAAATATTACAAAATTATTTGAATAAAGTATTAAAACATCCAAAATTTCGTGAACATATAGCTACGGTAAATACATAAAAAAAAAACTATAAAATAAAATTTCAATTAATTTAATTAAATAGAGAGAATTTCTTGAAGTAAGTTCATTATCATTTATACAAGGTTTGGGTGTTAGTATAAAAGAAGGTGCTATTGCAAAACGTTCAATAGCTGATATTCGTGGTCGTTCAATATTTCTTCGAGTTCCATTTGTATGTGATAAACTTCGATGTCATCATGCACAACAATGGTTTGTTCTTAAAGATTCATATCTTGTTTATATGGATTCTGATTCAGCTTTAATTGGATTTCCAATGCTTATCGATAAAGCCTTTTCTTTTAAACAAGGTTATCAAAAAACTACAACGAATAATGGAATTAAAATTAAAAATTCACAACGTTCAATACTTATTAAATTTGAAAAAGAAGATGACAGAGATACTTGGTTTGATTGTCTTAGGAATGTTACACGTAAATCTCTTTTTGTTGAACAAATTCTTTTTTACTCATATGCACCAAGAAGACAACAGCAATATGCTCATTGGTTTGTAACACATTTATTATTGAATATGCTTAAGAGACGACATTAAGTTTCTTTTTTTTTTTATTGAAAGGCAATCTTAAAGAAATTTTAAAGCATATGGGATAAAACCTTTCACCTCCGACAGATCGTGAAAGTTCTTCTTAATATACGAGCAAAAAAAGTACTTTATTGTTGCACTTCTCGAAGGTTAAAAAAAAGCATTATGATAAAATATATATTCTTCAAGAAAATATCTCATAAGAACTCAATAAAACAAAAACATTATTAAAATAAAAAAAAACTATTGTTTTATATTGAGATAGGTTTATAAATGGTCAATCATATATGGAAGCAGTAGCTAAAGCTATATTAGCAGCACGAGAAGAAATATTTATTGCTGGTTGGTTTCTTTCACCTGAAGTAATGCTTATTCGTCCTTGTGATGATGGTTCAATGCGACTTGTTAATCTACTGAATAAACGAGCTGTAAGTTTTCAAGATTCTTTTCTTTATTTATTATATTAATATATGAATATTTTAGGAAGAAGGAATTCGTGTTTATGTGTTATTATTTAAAGATCCGCCACTTGTTGGTTTAAATAGTCAATATACAAAATTAAAATTTATGGATCAAAGTCCAACGAAAAAAAATATAAAAGTAATTCGACATCCTAATCATATCGTTATACCGGGAACTGAATCATCATTCCTTTTTTCTCATCATGAAAAAATTGTTGTTATTGATCAACGTATTGCCTTTATTGGAGGCATTGATCTTTCTTGGGGACGATGGGATACAGATGAACATAGGTTTGTTGTTTTATTTTTGTTTATATTTATTTCAATTATTGAAAAAACTTTGTAATATTTTTTGTTTATGTATTGATTTACTTTTAATAGATTAGTCGATTTATGCGATGAAAATATAACGGAATTAAAGTTGCCTAATGAAAAAGGTGATCAACTTGAAGAAAAAGTACAAAATGAAGAAGCTGCAGTTGGTGTCACAAAAAAAATGGCACAAAACTCAATTGTTGGCAACATAGTAAGAATATTTTCTTTTTCGATTTTGCATCATTTATTATTTATTAACTAAATACTATCTATTATTTACTATTACTACTCATATTTGATATAGAAAGTCCAAAAAAAAAAATTCTTATTAACAATTTACAAGACTTGAATAACTTTCAGAAAGTAATTATTTTCCTTCGAGTTCAATCAGCTAGAGAAGTCTTGTTATGAATGTTCTCGGGAAGAGTTCACGTCATCGGCTATACTGCTGTCAAAACACTGAGTTTTGATGAAATTGATTGAGTCATCACCTTGGTCATCATCAACATGACTAAATAAAATAATTTTCAAGTTTCGACGCGATATTTTGCATAGAGATAGGTCTAAATGAAAATCGATTCGATGAACTTTTTTCAAGGATAACAGTTAATCAAAAGAGTTGTAGTTTACACAATAAATCATATTCTTTGAAATTTGTCTCTATGAAATGTTTTCAGACAAAATTCAAGAATAAGTTTCTGTAGTGTCATTGAGAGCAACAATAGGGTTTACTTGAAAAATATTATCAGTATGCAATATTTCTGCATTAATAAACAAAAGATCATAATTTTTCTCAGATTCTTCATCACTGATTAGTTTCTACTTGATGTGTATTGTTGCAACTCAAAAACGATTCATCAGTAGAAGGATTTTTCTTTTACTACAGAGCTTTTCATAAAAACCGAATATGTTTATTGTTAGTAATGATAAAATAAAGATTATATCAAGATAAAAATAACTGAATTACCTATTCGTTCATTACTATTCATGAGAGATATGACAGACATATGTATATATATATTGATTAAATATTATTTTTCTTTTCACCATTAACTAATCATCATTTTCAATTCTAATATATATATTACTTACGACTATATCTCTTAGAGTTCGACTTCGAACAACGTTGGATAATAGAACAAAGAGTTTTTTACAGTCAGAAGTATCAATCTGAAAAACTGAACAAAATTATTCGGTGTCGAAAGTTTCGAATGCCTGATATCTAGTCGTTAGTAACAGATCTATTAGCATAGAAAATAGTTGTTACTTTAATGATCACTATTCGGGATTAATTAATTCTAATGCAAATACTAGCAAACCATTTAAATTAATTTAAACACTGATGTTTAAAAAATATATTTATTAATTATTGAATGACATGACATAAAAAATGAGCTGAGGACGATTGTTCGAAGTTTTAACTTTAGAAGATTTTTCTAAAGATAGATGTGAATGAATATTTGGTTTTGGTTATCCATATAAAGTTGAACAGTGATTAGTCAGCATAAGTTCTTCTATATTTGCTAACTTTCATAAGATATGAAATAATGTTGACAACAAAGTAGTATTCGTTCATTTGAATTATTTTTATAGAAATATAATTAAAAAAAGAAAATTTAGTGAAATAAACAAAAAATATTCCAGGGAAGAAATCTTGAACAGTTTTCTTTTAATTACGTTTGTTTTTATTCTCAATAAAATATATTTGAATGAAATATTTTATCATATAAGATAAATCCATATTATACAATAATAAATATATCAGATGAAAAGAAATTGTTCTGAAATTTAAAAGTCAACGGAATTTTTTTTGAAATTGATTTATAATTTATTTTAAATACAAATGCGCATTACATAAATATAATATTTGGATGTTTGAAAGGCTTTATCAATGCAAATTCCAAGAGATTTATTTAATCAATCAAAATCTGATCAAGAAGAAAAAAAACTATTATTAAAATCAAATCAAAATCAAAGTATTATTGAGTATATCGAAATAATTATTTATTTATATTTATTTAAATAGATGTTAATGGTGAAAAAATCAAGAATAATAGCCATCTTGCAGAATCATCCAGTAAAACTTTTTTTTTATTGCTTTTCTTTTTTATCCGACATAGTTCTATTTACTTAAGAAGTAACCGATCTTCGAAGTGTGTTGACTGAAGCCGAACTAGAAATTTTAGCTGATGAAGAAAATGCTGCACATCAACGGCATAAATATAAAGAACAATGGAAGAAAATAATTAAAGTGAATTATTTAAAAGAATGATTTGTAAATTCTGTTGTATTTCTTATCATAAAATAATAGACAATTCGAAAAAAAGGAAATGAAGAATCATCGGATGAAGATGAAGAAATTTCACGAGAACCGATTGATGAAAAACCTACAACAATCATTGATGAAACACCAGTTGTTGATAAAAAATATCGCTATTTTATGGGCAAAGATTATGCAAACCCTTATGATCAAGACTTTGCAAATCTTGACAAATTTGATGAAGGTTTTCATATTATTTCACAATCCATATTAAACATTTCATTATTTTTTTTTTAAAGACTCGGTTGATCGAAAAATTTTCCAACGAATGCCTTGGCATGATGAAGCTTTGGTTGTTAGTGGAGAAGCAGCAAGAGATTGTGCCAGACATTTTATTCAACGATGGAATATTCATAAAGTTAACATTTTTTTTGGTTTTTTTTATTGAAATAATTAAAAATTGTTCGGCTTTTCTTTGTTTTTTTTTTCTATAAAATAGGCAGATAAATTGCGTTTTAATGAATTTTATCCATACATTCTTCCAAAGAGTTATGATGATGATCAATTATTTGATTCATCAATGCTTTCTGATATTCTTGGAGGAAAACAAAAACCAATGCGTGTTGATGCTCAATGTGTTCGTTCTGCTGCAGGTTGGTCATGTGGAATAGATTTTGAAGAAAGTTCAATACAAAATGCTTATATTGATATGATTGAGAATGCTCAATATTTTATTTATATTGAAGTAAGTATTAGCTTTTCTATTTATTTAATTTAAAATAAGAGTTTTCTTGTTTAGAATCAATTTTTTGTTTCAATTGCTACTGATACAACAATTACAAATTTGATTGCTGATGCACTTTATCGTCGGATAATTCGTGCCGCTACTCATCAAGAAAAATTTCGAGTATATGTTGTATTACCATTATTACCGGGATTTTCAAATGAAAATGCTGTTCAAGCTGTTCTTTATTTTATAATGAGATCAATTAATAAAGGAGAAACATCACTTTATCAAAGATTAATACGAGATGGTAAGTTTTTTATTATAGAGAATAAATTATGTTATATTATAAGTGTAAAAAAGATCAATCGAAATCGAATGTTATTTTGTAATTGAATATAAAAACAAATCATTATCTAAGTTAACTTTATTATAAAACGGTACTCTATTTTTGATATTGCTTACGTGTCAATACTCATCTATTATCCATTTCAAAATACAATGTACTTCAGTTTTTTGAATAACTTTTCATAGGAACATCATATAGACTTTTGGTTTTCATCACTTAATAGAGATTATAAGGAAAGAAATTTTTCTATCAACTGATCCTATTGAAAGTCTAAATCAAAAGAAAAATAGCTTCAGAATATTGCTTTCAAAAGTCTTCATTAACAAACTTCCTAGCCTTTCAATTGTTAACAATTTAAATTTCGATACAATTCAGAAGAAGTTAGAGCAGTCAAAGTAATTTGCATCTAAAACGAAAGGTCTTATTCAACATGTTTGTATTCATAGAACTCAATAGTATTGTCTTTAGATTCTTTTAATCAAGTTTTTCGATAAAAAGTAATGCTTAATATTTTCCTTCTATTTTATCTTGGACCGAAAGACATCAAAGTTTCTTGAAATGTTGAAAAATTTTCACATACAGACATCTATAAAAAATGGACCGTATAAAAAAAGATGTAAATTGATGATGAACTCTTTAAAAAAATACATTTTACTACATTACTCTACCCCATGTAACGCATACCACATACACAGACTTCATATAAAATAAAGCTATTCATAACACATGTAGTAAATGACAGACAACGATACACTGGAGACAGGAAACGTATATATATATATACATTTTGAGCTTTGCACAGATTACAATTGTACGATCTTCTATCTTGACTAAACCATAAAAGTATTCTTCCGTTGTTTCATGTTCCTGTGTATCACTATATCATCGTTTACTATCATGATGTATGTATATCAACGAAGAAATAAGCATTTTGGGATCTAGAAAGATACAGGAATATATGAAATCGTTATGCTCAATGTTATTGCAAGTTTCATGAACGTAAACACAATTTCATAACTACTACTCAAGTTTTAATATGACAGACCCCTAGGTGTTACAACTTATCACATCAATGATATTATTATACTGGCTTTCGAAAATCTCGAATACATCTCGTTAATAAAGAGTTAAATTGAATTGATTTATAATGATATGACGATATTATTTTTCTTTATTTTACAGTCTAATAATCAAATTCACATAAAACTAATTAGACTCAAAACATGAGAGCAACGGAATGTTTTTTTTTTTTGTAGAAAAATGATTTTGAAATGAAGTATTAGGAGTGGAAATATACAAAGCTTGCTACACTATCGATTCCCTTTGTTTAAGGGATAGTCATCAGGTAATAATAAACAAAAATGATCAAAAATTCTCTAATAAAAATGGGCAAAACCTTATAAAATGTTAAATTATTTCTGAAAAAATACTTTAGACCTTTCTCATAACACAGATTTAGTTGTTTCTTGATGTCATTTATTAAAATAGGTGTATATAATCCTGAAGACTATATAACATTTTATGGAATGCGCAATTGGGATATATTAATGGGTAAATTAGTAAGTATTTGAAACTATTTTATTTAATAATAACATAAAATTTAAAAAAAAAACTCGTTAAAGGTAACAGAAATAATTTATGTTCATTCAAAATTAATGATTGTTGATGATCGAATGTGTATTTGTGGATCAGCAAATATAAACGATCGTTCTCTTCTTGGTGATCGAGATTCGGAATTTTGTTTATTTGTTAAAGATGATGAAATGATTGATTCACAATTGAATGGTCAAAAACAAAAAGTTGGACTTTTTTCTTCAACATGGAGAAAGAAATTATTCAGGTTCATTTGAATTTAATATTATCATTAATATATTTATTAATTTTTACAGACAATTATTGGGTATTAAAAATGAAGAAGAAATGAGTGTTGATGATCCATGTTCAGATGAATTTTACGAACATTTTCGTCGAAGAGCAAAATATAATGCACAAATTTATGAAGAAGTTTTTAATACATTACCTACTAATCGTGTTAGAACTTTTAGTGAAGTTAATAGCTATACTCAACAATCAAAATTGAGAGACACTGATCCCTTAACTGTAAGTTAGATTGTATTTATTTAGCTTTTATTTGAATAAAAAAGCTGTTTACTTTTAATTAAGGCACATGAAAAATGTAAACAAATTAAAGGTTTTGTCGTTGAATTTCCATTAGAGTATTTAGCTGATGACGTTCTAATGCCGAGATGGACAACAAAAGAAGGTCTAATTCAATTTAGAATAGAAGGTTTCTTATGTAAAATAAATTTATTTTCATTATAGGTGTGGTTCCTATTTTCATGTGGACATAAAAAAATAATTCGACTTAATCAAACTATTTTGTTGGAAAAAAAAACAAACGTTGATTGTTCTGTTTACAAATAAAAGATGACTATATTTTATATTTGCATTTTACTTATGTTCTGTTTTTTATGAATTTGTTTTTACTTTTATTCAGAAATCGAACACATTCACTGGTGCTTTTTCTATTATTAATAAATAATTTCGGTAGAATAAACAATTGTGAACTATGAAATTCGATTAAATCTTATTCTTTTCTTTCATTACTATTATATTTAATCGTTACATAATTCTTCGGCAAGACTTCAAATATAAACATATTTGAATTGTTTAACTTTCAAAAATATTTCAATAGAAAAACCAATCCAAAACCGATTTAACTATCACCTTTATAACAAGTAACGCTCGTCCATGTGACTTGTTTGAACCTCGACTGAATATTCGGCTGCTTTACTGTTATATACTGCTTCACGGCCTTCAACAAAGCTATTGCCCATTCCAAAAAAGAAGACGGGTGGGTATTTCTTGAATAACTTGTGAACGGATTGATGTAGAGAGCTGCGGTTTTCACCATTGGAAAGAGACGATGAAGACGCATCGAACCAGACACAAACACATTTTTCTGACTACTTTCCTAACAGTTTTAGTCAAACATTGTCAAAAAATTGCTTTTTTCTCATACGTGAAGAAAACGTGATTTTTCGTCAAAAAACTACAAAAACTTGAATTTTTTCGATTATTTTGTTGAAAAAATGAGGTAGTAAATTGCATTCCAATGGCTAGAATTTCTTACTGATAGTGGTTAGGAATAGAATGTTTATACAGTTTTGTAGGGTTTCATCTGGCGATTCTAGCACGCTCTTGAAAATCAATAAAATAACATCGCGACCATGAGAGATATGCTGTTCTTCTAGAAACTCTATGTAAAACTGTTAGAAAAGTAGTCAGAAAAATGTGTTTATGTTTGGTTCGATGCGTCTTCATCTCCTCTTTCCAATGGTGGGAACCACAGCTCTCTAACTCAATCCGTTCACAAGTTATTCAAAAATACCCACCCGCCTTGTTTTTTGAAATGGGCAATAGTATCCAACGTTTCAAAAGCATGGATAGGTGTGTAGACGTTGATTTCAGCGTCAGTTTTGGGTGTGAGTGTGGGTGTGGGCAATGGGGAAAAAGCGAGACTCACTCTACTCCAAAAAAAAAATTGGAGTACAGCTGGAGTACAGTTGGAGTATAGCTGGAGTATTGCTGGAATCTATCCAGACTACAGCTGCAGCGCAGTTTGTGTACAATTGGACTGTAGTGGAAGTAGGGGTGGCACTTTAACTTTTCGTTAAGTTTAAAGTTAAAGTAGTGCACTTTAAACTTTAACTTTTAAAATGAAAGTGATCATATTTTACACTAACTTTAAACTTTTAAAGGTAAAGTATACGTTTTCCTATGAAATAAAAATTTTCTTAGAAATTTATGGGTCTGGGTGGGTGTGTGGGTGTGTGGGTGTGGGTGTGAATGAAGAGAAGAACCACACTCACACTCACACCCAAACCCACACCCACACCCACACCCCACCCACACCCACACCTCACCCACACCCACATCCCACCCACACCCACACCCACCCACAGCCTTCAACATTCCACCGCTATATTAGAATTTCGGAAATCTTGATTTGGTGACTTCCATCGCTTTAAAACTAAAAATAAACATCACCATTCGACTCAGCACGGCTGATTACCCCTATCTTGACCCATTTTAAGAGTGGTTGGAGGTCATTTGGCCGATTTCGGAGCTCTCAGGAAAATGCAGATAACTCCTCAACGGAATGCGCTAGAGAGCTCGGCCTTGAGCAGATCGAAAGAGAACAATTTTCTCTATCGAATTGTTAGATTAGATTAGATTAGAAATCAAAACAGAATGCAAGAGGCAAAAACTGCATGTAAAGAAAATTTTTCAAAATTTTGATCGATGCGATTCTCTCGTGCAATTCATGCTAATTAAATAAATTATTTTCTCTTGAAAGCTTAGATGTTGCTCTTCAAAAGTCTACCTTCAAGAGCAGTCTACGTTGGAATATGATAAAGTTAGAACAAAAACAAAAAAGGGACCGAAACTTATGAAGCACCCTTTATATTTCGTTAAAGACGAGGGTTCACAATGTTCTAGATAACATTTTCCATACTTATGAAACAATCGAAATCTGAATAAATGATGTAAATGCAACTTTCAATTCTTGTGTAAATTCATAGAGTTTGAGTAATTCTATTAACATCTATTCAACTAATATTCTTAATAAGATCAATAAATGTCAATCTCTAATTTATCTATGCATGTACTTTACTTCATCTAATTTTTGATAGTTAAATACTATGATCAAAATATATTTCAGTTAGATTCCTTAAAGTTGTGAAGTTACATATAAAGGAATAAAATATCCTAGAGAAATTTTTGAGATGGATTCCTGAATAGAAACCATAGAACAATATGAGAGTCGAATCAATTGCATAGTTCATAATTCAGAAGATTTCATTGTTCAAGTTTATTATTTATAATTCAATAGGGTTCTTTAAAATGCTGTTTAGTGTATTGATATTGATCTCTAAGAAATTCTCATTGGCAATAATTAATCTCACTTGAGACTTGATATATTACTCAAATTCGTTGAGATTCAATCTGATCTATTAGCAGAATCATACTAATATATAAACAATTTCAAGGTATTATCTTGATAAGAAAACAGAAATATCAAGAAATCCTTTGATAGCATAGAAAGAGATGACAGTCACTAATCAAATAACAATATCCATTTCATTTCTTTATCTTATTGAACTTAATTTTTTAATCGATATAAAAACAGAAGAAATAATGATAGCAAAACAAAAGCTCAACTAAAAAGTAAGCCAATCTTTTCCGACTGCCAATTTTCTTGAATATCGCTGATGGCAAACATCGTTTTATTGCACATGGAAAAATTTTATATTATAAAGATCGCAACAAATAAAACAAAAACATTTCGCATATTTCATTCTTTTTTCAGATGATTACCGCAGTTAAAGCAGTAAAACAGAACGACTTTAAGATATTTGACGATATTGTAATTAAAAATTCTGTCTATATACTTAGGGGTATCCAAAAGTAGTGGCAGTGGTACCTTTTTTGCTTACAGAAAGCTCGAACAAATTTTCTTTTTTCATAAAAAGATAGAGCGTCTTTTGCTCTATTTTTCTATGCTATTTGATCACTATTC